TGGTGAATGGAAGCTTTCCCCGAAGACGGTCTCACTCTGGTACCGGTGTGTTGGCCGGAAACCTCCCAGCAAGTTTATCTCTTGATTTCTTGTTAAGGTTAATGCAATAAGTAAAATGGGAAGGAAATAAAATAATCATATTTGGTCGTTTTGTGCAACCCAAACTGTCTGAGACAATGAGCTACACGTTTTCTTTTTTCTTTTTTTTTTGAGACAGAGTCTTGCTCTGTCACCCAGGCTGGAGTGCAGTGGCGTGATCTCAGCTCACTGCAAGCTCTGCCTCCCAGGTTCACGCCACTCTTCTGCCTCGGCCTCCCGAGTAGCTGTGACTGCAGGCACCTGCCACTGCGCCCGGCTAATTTTTTGTATTTTTAGTAGAGACGGGGTTTCATGGTGTTAGCCAGGATGGTCTCGATCTCCTGACCATGTGATCCTCCCGCCTCGGCCTCCCAAAGTGCTGGGATTACAGGCGTGAGCCACTGCGCCCGGCCTACACACATATTTTAAATAATATTTTCCATTTCTTCACAGATCTTGGGCCAATCTCACCAACATCAGTGAACCAGAGACTTCATAACAGTAAAATAATAATAATAATAAATAAAACAAAAATGGTTGACTGCAGGAGATGACCAGTTGATGACAAAGTGATCAACAATGTTCTTAGCTCACTCTGAATTAGCTGGGTATTCCTGGACCCAGTGCTTAGGAGGGCCTAAGATTATCTCCAGCTTTTGGCTTCCAATTTATAGATTTCTCTTCCTATCAATCAAAGACTTTATAGCAAATTTTAAAGAAAACTTGTCAAAATTAAAATAACAGCTGTTGACATTCACCTACTATTGTAACTAATCACAGGGAAAACACCTATCAATGTAACTACATAATCCATACAAATGCAATCTGGAAATTGAGAAGTGAATTCTCTTTTTTTTTTGGGTGGGGACAGAGTCTTGCTCTGTTGCCCAGGCTGGAGTGCAGTGGCACGATCTTGGCTCACTGCAACCTCCGCCTCCCGGGTTCAAACAATTCTCATGCCTCAGCCTCCTGAGTAGCTGTGACTACAGGCATCTGCCACCAAGCCCGGTTAATTTTTGTATTTTTAGTAGAGACAGGGTTTCGCCATGTTGGCCAGGCTGGTCTTGAACTTCTGACCTCAAGTTATCCATCCGCCTCAGCCTCCCAAAGTGCTGGGATTATAGGCGTGAGCCACCACGCCTTGCCAAGAAGTGAATTCTTCATAAAGAAAGGGTTTTAGTTTTAGTTATCAACTTTGAAGGACAATAAAGACAACATAGCCCAGCCAAGGAGGGACGAGGGAAACAGGAAGAAGCACACTCACTCGGGATATGCGGGGTCCAGGATGCGGAGCAGCAGCTGAATGAGAAGGCCATAAAAATTCAGACATCTTCTCAGGAAGCTCTCGTCAAGTAGGCCAGCATCAGCACAGGCCTTGCACCGTACCAGTTTCTGTGGAAGCAGGGATGCCCCCACCCAAAGATCAGTCAGTAGCTAAGTCCCTACAGGGGGACTGGGCAGGGACTGGGGCCTGGAGATGGGAAATTTGGGTTCCAGAGCTTCTAGAGCTTCATCTCTAACTAGCTATAAGATGCTGGTTGTGTCTCAAGATCTTTTTCCTGAGAAAAACAAAGGCATGGCAAGCAAACCACTGAGTACCACCAGGTCTAGCACACAGTTAAAGCTCAAAATGGTGAGTTACAAGGGTCACAAGCAAGTAACTTGATCAGGAGAGGGTGGTGACAGGGAAGGCCCTTTTGTCAGGGTGGTTAGTGGGAAAAAGCCAAACAATCTGTGTTTGAATTCCAGCGCCACCTCTTACGAGCTGCCCTTGGGCAAAATGCTGACCACTAAGGATGGAATGCTTACCTAAGGTCTGTTGATAGAATTACACACACATGCATACACACACTGACGTATACACTTAAGCAGTTTTTTTGTTTTTGTTTTTGTTTTTGAGACAGAGTCTCGCTCTGTTGCCCAGGCTGAAGTTCAGTGGTGCGATCTTGGCTGACTGCAACCTCCGCCTGGCAGGTTCAAGCAATTCTCCTGCCTCAGCCTCCCAGGTAGCTGGGATTACAGGTGCCCACCATCATGCCTGGCTAATTTATTGTATTTTTAGTAGGGATGGGGCTTCACCATGTCGGCCAGGCTGGTCTCAAACTCCTGACCTCAGGTGATCTGACCGCCTCGGCCTCCCAAAGTGCTGGGATTACAAGTGTGAGCCACCGTGCCTGGTAATTTAAGCAGTTTATAGACCCCCTTGAAACACATCTGTGGACTGCTTAGGGGGGCCCACAGACCCCAGATAAGGGCCCCTGGTTAACTGTGTATCTTGAAGAAGTCTAGTCTATTAGTAAATTAAACTGAAATCTTAACTTGTACTAGAAAGCTATGTCAGGTAAACTTTCCACATATTATCCTACTATTCAACAGAATGCATGACCAGCTAACATTCAGGTTTATAAGTGGAACATGAATACAAGAAAAATGGATAAATTTGCTATCTATGCTTTATTTGTACAACGTCAGCTGGCATATGTTTTTAGCTATGTCTCACCAGCAAGAATATTCCCTTCTATAGTTAGGTTTTGTGTGATGAATCATTTTCAATTAAAAAGGAAGAATGAGGGGCAAAGGAAAGAGATCTTTCCACTACCACAGATGCGCTTTGTCAAATACCCTGAAAATGCATGGCTAGATATACTGGAGTGTGCATGAGTGTTGGGGCGGGGGTTGGGAGACAGCAGGTGAGGAGAGCCTTGCATAAGGCAGGGAAGGGGAGGTGATGTTAAACTAAGAATCATAAAACCCATTAAGAATTTATAGTCACAGCAGAAGCATATCTATCCATATTCTGTCCTAAGATTGAAATCATTATATACAGATATAAGTAAGATATCAACAAGTTTTAAAATGTACTATTTTATCGGAAGGGAAAAGAATAACGAAGAAAAAGTAAGGACACTAAACTGCTCACTCAAGGCATATATTCTGTTGGGAAAATTATCATTATGAGGCTGGTCTAAAATTATTCCACTTAACTATACAAACCTTAAGCTGAGTTTTACAGCGCTTCAGCATTTCGCGGTGTCTAGTTGCCAGTGGGGAATCTTTCCATTGGCTTTCATTATTTTTCAAATCTTCTACAGTTCTGAAATCAAAGACTAACAGTCAAATGAAAGAAAACAGCTGGATCCATCTTATCCATTCATCTCGCCCATTTCACTGACTCTCACACGCAGTTGTTTTCGCATTGTAACGCAGTTGTTTTCGCATTGTAACATCTTAAAAATCAGAGTATATCTTAACCAGTGGCAAGTTATAATTTAATTGGCAGCATCTTTCTTTCTTTCTTTCTCTTTCTTTCTCTCTCTCTCTCCCTCCCTCCCTTCCTTCCTTCCTTCCAGAGTCTTGCTCTGTCACCAGGCTGGAGTGCGGTGGTGCAATCTCCGCACACTGCAACCACTGCTTCCTGGGTTCAAGTGGTTCTCCTGCCTCAACCTCACAAGTAGCTGGGATACAGGTGCCCATCACCACGCCCAGCTAATTTTTTGTATTTTTAGTAGAGACGGGGTTTCACTATGTTGGCCAGGCTGGTCTCAAACTCCTGACCTTGTGGTCTGCCCCCCCCACCGGCCTCGCAAAGTGCTGGGATTACAGGCGTGAGCTGCCGCGTCTGGCCATATTTTTCTTTTTTATTGGCTCCTAAAACAATGATGTGTCTTCAAATGGATGGCACTATAGATTTGGTGAAATATAATCTTTTTTGCTGCAAGAAAGTACTTTGTTCCCTTACTTTTCTGGGAGGGAAAAAAAGAAGTCTCTTATGAAAATTCAAGGTTACTTTGCCTATTCAATTACCCAAAACAAACGGCTATTTTACTAATGGCATCATCCTTTACAACTGTTCCCTCTGCTCGGAATGCTCTTCTCTGAGGTTATCTCCGGCTTTGCTCCTTCATTCCCTTCAGGTGTCTGCTCAAACACCACCTGTCTCTGCAGTAAAGGCTTCCCCATCACCTAATATGCTGCATATTTTGACTGACTCACTTAACACTATTTCAACCCCTTTCTATCATGACGTTGTGTGTAATACTAGAGTTTGCTAAATCTCCAAAAGTTACATTTCCTAGACTCCCCTCCTGCCAGCATTTCTGTAAGACCGAGTTTTCACCGAGATGAACCCTCACTGAAGGCAGGGTGAGTACTGTGAAGTGACTGCGTGATTGCATGATCCTTCTGCAAGTACAGTGGTAGCGGGGTTTCGGCTGAAGCAGTGGCAGAGGCTGTGCTGTCAAGCTGAAGCAGCTTCCTTGCTCAAAGTATAGCTCTGGGAATCTTCTATTATAGCCATTCCAATGATTCAATAAACCAACTAGTTCCCCTTTCTGCTTATCCCAGAAGAATTGGATTCTTTTGTCTACAACTGAAACATGAGTATGGTAGACAAAAGAATGGCTCCTCCAAAGTTGTCACATCTGAATCCTTCGAGGGAACCTGTGAACATGTGATCTCACTTGGCGAAAGGGACGTTGTAGATGTGATTAAGGGTATGGACTTTGAGATGGAAAGATTATCTTGGATGATTTGGGACGGCCCAATATAATCACAAAGGTCCTTCTAAGAGAAAAAAGGACTCAGAGACAGAGAAGGAGATGTGACGATGGGACAATGGAAGCAAAGGTCAGAGAGAGATGGAGATCTTGTTGCTGTCTTTTTTTTTTTTTGAGATGGAGTCTTGCTCTGTCACCCAGGCTGGAGTGCAGTGGCACGATCTCGGCTCACTGCAAGCTCCGCCTCCCGGGTTCACGCCATTCTCCTGCTTCAGCCTCCTGAGTAGCTGGGACTACAGGCGCCCGCCACCACGCCCGGCTAATTTTTTGTATTTTCAGTAGAGATGAGGTTTCACCATGTTAGCCAGGATGGTCTTGATCTCCTGACCTCATGATCCACCTGCCTCGGCCTCCCAAAGTGCTGGGATTTTTTTTTTTTTTTTTTTTTTTTTTAAGACCGAGTCTCGCTCTATTGCCCAGGCTGGAGTGAAGTGGCATCATCTGACTCACTGCAACCTCTGCCTCCCAGGTTCAAGCAATTCTCCTGCCACAGCCTCCCAAGTAGCTGGGATTACAGGCACCTGCCACCAGGCCTGGCTAATTTTTGTATTTTTAGTAGAGATGGGGTTTCAACGTGTTGGCCAGGCTGATCTCCAACTTCTGATCTCAAATGATCTGCCTGCCTCGGCCTCCCAAAGTGCTGGGATTACAGGCATGAGCCACCATGCGTGGCCTTGTTTTTTGCTTTTTTGAGACAAGGTCTCTCACTCTGTCGCCCTGGAGTGCAGTGGCACGATCTCAGCTCATTGCAACCTCTACTTCCCGGGTTCAAGCAATTCTCGCACCTCAGCCTCCTAGCAGCAGGGACTACAAGGGTGTGTTACCATGCCTGGCTAATTTTTGTATTTTTTGGTAGAAAAGGGTTTCACCATGTTGGCCAGGCTGGTCTCAAACTCCTGACTTCAAGTGATCCACCTACCTCAGCCTCCCAAAGTGCTGGTATATACCAGGCAAGAGAAGGAGATCTAAAGATACTATGTTGCTAGCTCGGAAAATACAGTAAGGCAGTGTGGGGGTGGGGTGGGAGGTGGTGGTGATGAACAGAGGAACATAGGCAGCTTTTAGAAGATGGAAAAGGCAAAGGAGATTCTCCCCTAGAGCCTCTGGAGGGAAGCAACCTTGATCTTAAGACTTCCGTTTTTGAGACGGAGTCTCACTCTGTATCCCAGGCTGGAGTGCAGTGGCGCAATGTCGGTTCACTGCAACCTCCATCTCCCAGGTTCAAGAGATTCTTGCCTCGGTCTCTTGAGTAGCTGGGACTACAGGCATGTATTACCATGCCCTGCTAATTTTTGTATTTTTAGTGCAGAGGAGGTTTCACCATGTTGGCCAGGCTAGTCTCGAACTCTTGACCTCATGTGATCTGCCCACCTTGGCCCCCCAAAGTGTTGGGATTACAGGCATGAGCCACTCTGCCTGGCCTATTTTAGGACTCCTGACCTTCAGAACTGTAAGATAGTAGTATGTGTTGTTTTAAGTGACTAAAGTTGTGGTAATTTGTTGCTGCAGTCATAGGAAACTAAGATATTGACCTATATGGTTACTGGTATCACAAGAGTTTATAGGTAACAGGCCTTCACGAGAAAAATAGGTCTCTGGGATCAGTTGTTTAATTGGGCTGGATGATGAAGATACAATTATTATTTGAGGATGGAACACTGGTAGCCCAAGGTTCTGAGTAGAGAAACAGCTATATAAATGATCACTGGTGATCTGGAATGAGGAGGTGGCGTGGCTACCTCTAATTATGTTGCAGAGTTTATAGAAAAAAAAAAAATTACAGACTTCAGATTTTAAATTCTCATCTCAAGGAAATGTGAATGAACCAGGAAGTTTCTAAGACCACTGTAAAGGAGCAGCTCCAGTCCTACAAATTACAGTACAGAAGAAATTAATAACTTTACTGGACCTCTTATCTCAAAGTTAAGGCAAAGAATGGGACCCAAAGAGTTCAAATGGAGAAGTCTGGGAGAACTAGCTGACTCCAACCCAAATCTTTAAATTCCCTGAGTCTTGCTTGCTAGCAGAAGCAGTTTCTATAATGACCTCATTGGAGGTAGTCATCTTGCAGGAATGCTATTTTCCCCTAGGTTCTATCCCATCATCCTTCATTGCTTCCAGAACCACAACTAGAATCAGATCAAGGACTGTCCTTATGGCCTTATTACAAAATTGGATGCAGGAGAAGCACACATTTGGAGAAAAAAAATGGCAAGATTTGTTAATGAGTTATGCTAGTTTTCTACTGCTGCTATAAGAAGTTACCATAACCTCAGTGGCTCCAAACCACACGATTATAGTCTTAGAGTTCTGGAAGTCTAAAAGGGGTCAGCAGGGATGATTCCTTCTGGAGGCCCTAGGGGAAAACAAGTTTCCTCGCCTTTTCCAGCTTACAGAAGTTACCGATTGGCTCATGACTCCAAACCACTCCAACCTCTGCTTCCCCATCACATTCCGTCTCTCCCTCTGACCCTCCTGATTCCCTCTTATGAAGACCTTTGCAATGACACTGGACCTACCCATATAAACCAGGATAATCTCCCCAGCTCAAGATCATGAACCTGATACCACAACTGCAAAGTTCCTTTAATCAACTTAGATAACATATTCACAGGTTGCGAGACCAGGATGTGGGCACCTTTGAGACACCATTATTCTACTTACCACATATGTACTGTAGAAACATGACGGTTATGTAGGGTTATGTATGGGAATGGATTCTGAGGATGCTTGATCAGCAAGAGAAGAAAATGCTGATATACTTCTATGTAGGGCTAAAATCACTGACATGATTATACCTACCAGAGACCCTGGATTCAGTATTATTCTGAGTTGGGAGACGTTCACATTGTGCAACCAACTAGTTGACCGAAACTTTGAATTGACAGTGACCTATACTGAATGAAGCTGTGTTGCCAAATATTCTTTGATCTAATTCAGAGGAAATGATTCAAAACTTAAAGAGCTTAGCAAATTAAATATTGGATTTACCATATGTGATTCGCTCAGATAATCCTCTTTCCAATACACATACACACATCCCAACTATGTCCTAGAAGATACTTCTTATACCACAGCATTGAAAAATACACACATGAGGTGAATATAAATGTCTCTGGAAAGCACAATAAAGGCTATCTGTTGCAAGCCAGGAGCAAAGGTTCCAGATAGTTCTATTGAAATGGACCCTCTAACGCCAGTGGGAGTGATGGTATCCCAGGAGGTAATCCATCGGAGGATAAAGAAATAGATAAATCCACAATCACAGTTTGAAATTTTTATAAGCTTCTCCCAGTAATTGATATTATAAGCTGATAAAATCATCAGATATAAGGAAAACTTGAACAGAAAATTAACAAACTTGACCTAAATAATATACGTGGAACACTGTAAAAACAACACAGATAGCAGTCTTTTCAGGTCTACTAATGTAAAAGGCTACACAGTAAGTCTCAATAAACTTCAGAACACACAAATCACATATATTATATTTTATATTTTATATATATATTATGTTTTCTTACCATAATGGAATTTAGCTAGAAATCAATCAACAAAAGATACATAGACAAATACCCTAAGAACCTAGAATTTAAATAATATATTTTGAAATAACCCACAGGTTATATATGAAAAAACAAAAATTAGAAAACGTTTTGAACTGAGTAATAAGATATGATAAACCAAAAATGAGGGATGAAGCTAAGGTCACACTAAGAGGGAAACAAAATAGTCTTAAATACACACATAAGCGAAAGAGTTGAAAGGGATGATCTAAATATCCATCTTAAGAGGCAGCAGAAAGCAAATTAAAATGGGCTAGGTGCGATGGCTCAGGCCTGTAATCCCAGCAAGGCCTAGGCAGGCAATCACCTGAGGTCAGGAGTTCAAGACCAGCCTGACCAACATGGAGAAACCCTGTCTCTACTAAAAATACAAAACTAGCTGGGCGTGGTGGCACATGCCTGTAATCCCAGCTATTCAGGAGGCTGAGGCAGGAGAATCGCTTGAACCCAGGAGGTGGAGGTTGCAGTGAGCCGAGATTGCACCACTGCACTCCAGCCTGGGCAACAAGCCTAGACAACAAGAGCGAAACTCCTCTCAAAAAATAAAATAAATAAATAAAAACAGAAATAATAAGGATCCCACAGACATTAAAATGATAAAAGGATATTATGAACAACTTCATGCCAAAACATTTTCAAACTTTAGAAAAACTGACACAAGATGTAATGAAAATCTAAATAGTCCTATATATGTTAACGGACTTAAATCCATAATTAAAAACATCCCCACACAGAAAACTCTTAAGCCCTGACAGCTTAATCACTGAATATTTTCTGACATTTAAGGAAGAAACAACATAATTTTTATACAATAAACTTCCAGGGAACATAAAAAACAGGAGAATATTCTCCAGTCCCTCTTTTTCTTTTTTCTTTTGTTGACATGGAGTCTCACTCTCTTGCTCAGGCTGGAGTGCAGTGGCTCGATCTTAGCTTACTACAACCTCCGCCTCCCAGGTTCAAGCAATTTTCCTGCTACAGCCTCCCGAGTAGCTGGGATTACAGGCTTGCACCAACCATGCCCGACTAAGTTTTGTATTTTTAGTAGAGACAGGTTTTCACTATGTTGGCCAGGCTAGCCTCCAACTCCTGACCTCAGGTGATCCGTCCACCTTGGCCTCCCAAAGTGCTTGGGATTACAGGTGTAAGCCACTGCGCCCAGCCCCCAGTTTCTTCTATGAGGCAGCATAACCTTGATACCAAAATTTGAGATGCACTTAACAAGAAATGAAAATTATAGGTCAGGCTTTCTTTTGGACACATGCAAAAATCCTAAACAGAATATTAGCAAATTGTATATCCTATTAGATATAAAAACATTAATATAAAGTTAAGTTTACTCGAGGAGTGAAAGACTGGTTTAATAACAGAAAACCAACTGATATAATTCAACCATATTAACAGAATAGAGGAGAAAAAAAGTCTGGTCTTCTCAATGGATATGGCAAAAGCATTTAATAAAATTCAACTAGTGCTAAGGAAATTAACTATTGAAATAAAAGGAAATTTTCTTAATCTGGTAACTGAGGATATATAGAAAGCTTTCCTCCACTAATTGAAACAAGATGGAAATTTCAAGGTTATTTCTATTCAACATTGTACTAAAAATTACAGCCCAGGCACTAAGGCATGAAAAAAAAAAGCATAAGAAATAAAACTGTCATCATTTATAGACATGATTATGTGTAGAAAGTAAATCATAAAGAATCTGCAGGGTAACATTAGAATTAATAAGTGATTTTAGGCCAGGTGTGATGGCTCACACCTGTAATTTCAGCACTTTGGGAGGCAGAGGTGGTCGGATCACCTGAGGTCAGGAATTTGAGACCAGCCTGACCAACATGGCGAAACTCCGTCTCTACAAAAAATACAAAAATTGGCCAGGCACAGTGGCTCACACCTGTAATCCTGGCACTTTGGGAGGCCAACGTGGGTGGATCACCTGAGGTCAGCAGTTTGAGACCAGCCTGACCAATATGGTGAAACCCTGTCTCTACAAAAAATACAGAAAAATTAGCCAGGCATGGCGGTGTGCAGCTGTAGTCCCAGCTACTCACGAGGCTGAGACAGGAGAATTGCTTGAACCCAGGCAGCGGAGGTTGCAGTGAGCTGAGATCACGCCATTGGACTCCAGCCTGGACGGAGCGAGACTCCATCAAAAAAAAAAAAAAAAAAAAAATGGGGCGTGGTGGTGCGCGTCTGTAATCCCAGCTACAGAAGTGCAAGCAGGAGAATTGCTTGAACCTGGGAGGCAGAGGTTGCAGAGAGCTGGGATCATACCACTGCACTCCAGCCTGGGCAACAGAGCGAGACTCCATCTCAAAAAAAAAAAAAAGAATTAGTAAGTGATTTAAGCAAGGTGATACAGAGATATAAATATGATTCAGTTTCTCTCATAGCCAGACTACACAGGTTCTAGACCAAAAAGCAGAAGTGGTTTCATTATTATTTCAGATGACCTGCTCAAGAATATTTGCTTCTGTGTTCCTGTGACTTCTGTGTGTTGGTGTTAGTACACAGCAAAAAATGCTTAGAGTAAGAAACATAACAATGGTGTTAATGAATTGGAAATCTGAGGCTGCTATTTGACCATTTTGGACTCCTCATGCCACAGAACAAGCCAAAAAGAGAATTACACGTGGGCAGGAGTAAATGATCTTGGTTATCAAGGGAAACCATGGTTACTTTTTCACAGTCCAGGGAAAAAGGGGTATGTCTGAAACCCAGGGGATCTTTTAAAGTTTTAAAGTTTAAAGTGCCTGCTGGTAATGTATGCCCAGCTGGAAAAGTTAATGGAAGTCTGTAGTAACCATAAACAGAGTGAAATACCCAGGGTTCAGGACTCTCAGAAATCAAGGTTTGGATCACTTCACCAGTTAAAGAACTCTGGACAACTGAGGAACGTGGATGTGGTGGTGGAGGCAGACAGAACACTATATAACATACATACCTCCCCCAACATTCAAAACTACTGTTCACAATGGAATTGCTTGCCCCTGACAAAAAAAATGGTAACTCAGGCAATCCCAGGACACGGCATCATGGCACATACCTATTGAGCTCCCGGATAGCCCGGAGTCTGCGGATATAGCGACGGCAACTAGGCAGAATAGACAGGTGGTGAGCATGCAGGGTGAGAAAGAAGCACTCCGTAGGGAATTTCGGCTCAGAAAATGGAGGCTGATCGCCATCTAGGAAAAATAACATCATTCCCTAAATAAAATCTATTACATGTCTCAATCAGAGAAAAAGCTCAATTCAGAAGAGAAATTACATTTGAATTTTTATGAAGTTTAAAGACACATTTATTTATTTATTTATTTATTTATTTATTTGAGCTGGAGTTTTGCTCTTGTCACCCAGGCAGAAGTGCAATGGCGCAATCTTGGCTTACTGCAAATTCTGCCTCCCAGGTTCAAGTGATTCTCCTGCCTCACGCCTCCCTAGTAGCTGGGATTACAGGCATGCACCACCACACCTGGCTACTTTTGCATTTTTAGGAGAGACGAGGTTTCACCACGCTGGCCAGCCTGGTCTCAAACTCCTGACCTCAGGTAATCCACCCTCCTTGGCCTCCCAAAGTGCTGGGATTATAGGCGTGAGCCACCATGCCTGGCCAGACGTTTAAGGATACTTTTGCAATTATAAACTTAAACAATGCTACAAGAAGAAGAGAATTCCTGTTAGCTCCATTCAAGGACCAGGTATTCTGTCCTACCTCGTTAAATGTATATATAGATGTCCATCACAATCTTTTTTTTTTTTTTGAGAGAGGGTCTTACCCTGTCACCTAGGCTACAGTGCAGTGGTAAGATCACAGCTCACCACAGCCTTGATTTCCCGGGCTCCGGTGATCCTCCTGCCTCAGTCTCCTGGGTGGCTGGGAACACAGGCGTGTGCCACCATGCTGGGCTAATTTTTTTCTTTGTAGAGGTGGGGTTTCCCTATTTTGCCCAGGCTGGTCTTGAACTCCTGGGCTCAAGCTATCCTCCCATCTCAGCCTCCAAAAGTTCTGGGATTATGGATGTGAGCCACCATTCCCAGCCCATCAACAATCTTTGGTGATGTTCCTTACTGATGTATTGTATAAAATCTCCATTTTTCAATACAATACAGAAATATTTAAATCTTGAAATGGTATTAAATTCTGTTAATAAACTACTGATTCCAGAGCCGTTTCCCTGCATATTTCCTTTTTCTAATTTTTTTCTATTATAAGTAATAGTACTACTGGGAGGATTTATGTAAATAAAATTATTCCTTTTTCCTCCAACTTTGGGAATATATCCTGAAAAGCAGAATTATTAAGAACAACAGTATTATAATTTTTTCTATGAATCACCAGAATTCACTTTAGATAGGTTAAATAAATTGGTGAAATGTCATCTACTTCTTTGAAAACTTACATTGTATTTCATTACTTTGGTTTCAGCTTGTTTATAGATATATTATGATAACTCATATGATAACTCAAATGTTTTTTCAATTTGTATCTTTTTTTTTTTTTTTTGAGACAGAGTCTCGCTCTGTCGCCTAGGCTGGAGTGCAGTAGCTCAATGTCCGCTCACTGCAAGCTCCGCCTCCCAGGTTCACGCCATTCTCCTGCCTCAGCCTCCCGAGTAGCTGGGACTACAGGCACCCGCCACCATGCCTGGCTAATTTTTTTTTTAATATTTTTAGTAGAGACAGGGTTTCACCATGTTAGCCAGGATGGTCTCGATCTCCTGACCTCATGATCCGCCCACCTCGGCCTCCCCAAAGTGCTGGGATTACAGGCATGAGCCACCGTGCCTCGCCTGTTTTGTTTTTTTTTTTTGAGACAGAGTCTCACTCTGTTGCCCAGGCTGGAGCACAGTGGCATGATTGCGGCTCACTGCAACCTCCGCCTCCTAGGTTCAAACGATTCTCCTGCCTCAGCCTCCTGAGTAGCTGGGATTACAGGAGCGTACCACCACACCTCCTAATTTTTGTATCTTTAGTAGAGACATGGTTTCACCATGGTGGTCAGGCTGGTCATGAACTCTGGACCTCGTGATCTGCCCGCCTCAGCCTCCCAAAGTGCTCGGATTACAGGCGTGCACCACCATGCCCAGCTAACTTTGGTATTTTTAGTAAAGACGGGGTTTCACCATGTTGGTCAGGCTGGTCTTGAACTCCTGACCTTGTGATCTGCCTGCCTCGGCCTCCCAAAGTGCTGGGACTATAGGTATGAGCCACCACGCCCGGCCAACTATATTAAGTTTTATTATGTTTCTCTATCTCATAAGTTCATTTTATGGTGAGGTGGTAACAATCTGTGAGGAATTACTAGCACGTAGGTAAGATAAAACACTAGCAGTGTTTTAATGACCGAGTCGTGAACACAGTACTCACAGAGTTCAGTCAGCCAGTCATTCACATCTTCCATCGTGGCATTCACACGCGTCTCATCATTTGGAAGAGTAATCCGACATCTTGGGTGAAAAATATACGTGGGATCAACTGTTTCTAACTTGATTTTTGTACTTAGCTGCTGCAGTACCCAAAGGAAATTCAGCATAAATCCATCTGTAGATACCAATCTATCATCTGTCTGTGAAAGATGAAAAGAAAAAGTATTTTTAAACATTAAAAAAAATATTTTTGAGATGGGGTCTCACTCTCTTGCCCAGGCTGGAGTGAAGGGGTGTGATTTTGGCTGCAACCTCTGCCTCCCAGGCTCAAGCAATCCTCCCACTTCAGCCTCCCAAGTAGCTGGGACCTAAAGTGATCCGCCTACCTCAGCCTCCCAAGTGCTGGGATTACAGGGGTGAGCCACTGTGCCCAGCCAAGGAAAAGTATTTAAAATAACAACATGAATAGAAATTTTGGCCTTTATAAGAAAGCAGACTGAACTTTCAAGCATAACTGTATCCTAAAGTCAATGAGAAGACATACATATCATCACCACTGTCATTCCATTAATTCTGTATTAGCAGGTGCTACTTGTTGAATACCACCTATTATATAATTATTATTTACGCAAGAGGCATTTTATACATTTCTTTTTATTTTTTATTTTTTTGAGACGGAGTTCCGCTCTTGTTGCCCAGGCTAGAATGCAGTGGCGCGATCCCCACTTCCAGGTTCAAGCGATTCTCCTACCTCAGCCTCCCCAGAAGCTGGGATTACAGGTACCCGCCACCATGCCCAGCTGATTTTTTGTATTTTTAGTAGAGACGGGGTTTCACCATGTCAGCCAGGCTGGTCTCGAACTCCTGACCTCAGGTGATCCGCCTGCCTCGGCCTCCCAAAGTGCTCGATTACAGGCATGAGCCACCACGCCCAGCCATTTTCTACATTCTTTTACTGAACCATCACAATAATTCTTACAGGTCAGTAATACTGCTGTTAACATTTTATACAGGAGGAAATAAAGACTCAGAGACCCTGAAGTGATTTGCCTGAGCCTCAAAATTAGTAAGTAGAAACACAATAAATATTTCTTTCTTTTTTTTTTTTTTTTTGAGACAGGGTTTTACTCTGTTGCCTGGGCTGTAGTACAGTGGTGCAAACATAGCTCACTACAGCCTCAACCTCCTGGGCTTAAGCAATCTTCCCACTTTAGCCTCCTGAATAACTGGGTCTACAGGTATATGCCACTACACTGAGCTAAATTTTTTATTTTTTTGTAGAGACAGGGTCTCCCTATGTTGCCCAGGCTAATCTCGACCTCCTTGGCTCAAGTGATCCTCTCGCCTCAGCCTCCCAAGTAGCTGAAACTGTGGGTATGCGCCAGCCACCATGCCCAGATAATTTCTGTATTTTTTGTAGAGATGGGGTCTCATTATGTTGCCAGGGCTGGTCTCAAATGACTGGGCTCAAGCGATCCTCCCACCTCGGCCTCCCAAGTGCTGAGATTACAGGCCTGAGCCACCATGCCTGGCCTCTTTCTCCTCTTTATTTCCCTCAAGAGCATCAAAACAAGTAGTTCCACTTGTTATCATGTGACATTGTTTCTCTAGGTGACAGCATCAGCACACTCTTGCATTAACAATATAACAATGTAACTTGATTACTTCTGTTAAGAAAAAAATAATAATACAACAATGATAAGAATGATAGTTAATACTGGTTGAGTGATCACTGTGTACCGGGCACCATCCTAACAGCTTTATATATAATAAACCCAGTACTAGTAGTACCCCCCCTTAGCAGATGAGGAAACGGAGGCACAGAGGAGTAACTGTCTAAGGTCCTGCAGTTAGTACACGGTGGAACCACGATCAGAAACCACCAGATCTATGCTCTTCTCTCTGCGTTTTTTGCTTCTGAGTATACACGTCACGTCATTCATTCGTTATTTATTACTAATCAAGGAAGGATGTCCTTTTCTCCTCTGGCAAAGCAGCCACAGCCACTGGCCTGTCTCACCTGGACCGAAGCACTCACGCCCTTGCAGCTGCCTCCTTGGGTCTGTTCCTGGCTGCCCCCTTCCGCTTTGGTCCATCTACATGCAGCTTTTGTGATTTCCCTGCTAAGAACCCTCCCATGACAGTTCTGATCATGTAAACCCAACCCGATGGAGCCCTGTCTACCCACTAACTCCAGGACCTGCCATTCCCTCCTGTTCACTCTTCTCCAGCCACAAAAGTCTGCATGCTGGGCTTGTACCAAAGCTGCTTTGTTTCCACCTTGGACAGCTCTTTTCTCAGCCACTACAACCGCTGGCTCCTTCCTATGAAACAAACCTCACCTCCTCAGGGAGGCCTTTCCTGCCACCCAATCACAAATCACCTTCAGACCTTCCTTCTGGTAACTAAGTTCTTCTCATGTCATTTACTTTGCTCTGTTTTCTTCATTGATTATACAACTGTCTAAAATCATGTATTTATACGTGTACTTGTTTACTCTGTGGAACACGGGCTCCACAAAAGCAGGAAGCTTGTCTACCTTGTTCAATACTGTACCCCCATTCCTAGAACAGTGCCTGGTAGGTGCTGACTAAATCTGGGTCAGATGAATGAATTTGACGAACAGTGAAAAGCAGTGCATAGGAATCCTACCTGCATCTGTGCTTTCTTCATATTGGCATTGACGACAGCCGCCATGTAACTGAGAGCAGCCTCACGGGTTTCGCCATTTAACAAAATACTATGCAGAATCTTAAAAAGCTCTTGCTGAAATTTATTTTTAAAAAGAAGAAACAAATTAAAACTATTTTGCACACGATTCCTTTTTGACTTCATGAACAGCTAGCCTACTTCCCACGTTCTCTCCTCTCCCACTTCTACTCATTTCAGACAATCCTGAGTGAAAGAAGAATATAAGAAATATCCATATTCAACTATGTCAAGGTAATCAGCATGAAAGCAGAATATGGAGTGGGGGAGGTAGGCAGTTAGTTTTTTTTTTTTTTTGAGACAGAGTCTAGCTCTGTTGCTAGGCTGGAGTGCAGTGGTGCAATCTCGGCTCACTGCAACCTCCGCCTTCCGGTTTCAAGCGATTCTCCTGCCTCAGCCTCCCAAGTTGTTGGGATTACAGGCGCCTGTCACCATGCCCAGCTAATTTTTTTTTTTGTATTTTAGTAGAGATGGGGTTTCACCATGTTGGTAAGGCTGGTCTTGAACTGCTGACCTCGTGATCCACCTACCTCGGTCAATTTTTGTATTTTTGGTAGTGACGAAGTTCACCATGTTGGCCATGATGGTCACTACCTCCTGACCTCGAGATCCGCCCACCTCAGCCTCCCAAAGTGTTGGGCTTATAGGTGTGAGCCCACGAACCCAGCCAGCAGTTAGAGTTTTAATAAAATAGCCTTTGTTACTTCCTTCCCATGATCAAAATTACCTTAGATACTCAAGCCTGTAACTTCTTTGCCTTTTTTCTTTTTTTGAGATGGAGTCTTGCTCTGTCGCCCAGGCTGATACGCAGTGGCGTGATCTCGGCTCACTGCAACCCCCACCTCCTGGGTTCAAGCGATCATTGTGCCTCAGCCTCCCGAGTAGCTGGGTAGCTGGGATTACAGGCACGTGCTGCCACACCTGGCTAATTTTTGTATTGTTAGTAGAGACGGGTTTCGTCATGTTGGCCAGGCTGGTCTCAAACTCCTGACCTCAGGTGATCCACCCACCTCAGCCTCCCAAAGTGTTGGGATTACAGGTGTGAGCCATCACACCTGGCCCTTCTCTGCCTTTAAGTTTGAGGACTGAAGACATATTAATCAGGATTTGGGATAAGCAAGTCAGTGAAGGTGTGTGCAAACTAACAACTCTTGCTCACCCTCACAGTGTAAATGCCTAAGGGCCAGCTGGAGAAGGAGTCGGGCCACTAAGCTTAGGACCAGCTCCCTGTGACGCTACATACAAAGGCAGCATACTGCTGTTGTTACAACCTGTTATTCAAGACACAGGTTACTTACTTATAGTTTATCTTTTTTATGTAAGATTGAATTGGCTTTTGTTAGCCGTTTGTCTACTGGGCATTGTCCAGTCTACAAAATAAAAGCTCCCTATCTGGAGTTCATCTTTGCTACTTCCTCTGGGTTTGTTTTCTGAACGCTTACCCTTCCGAGCTCTAAGTAATGCTGCAATGATTGGCTAACCACACGAGTGTTTTCCAGGGTAATGGCAGGCCCTGAGAAGTATTTTTCAACCACTTTAACCTGGAAAGAGAAGGAAAAATGCAATCAACATATAATGTACATTTGGGAAAGAATCTGAATAGAAGGGCGGCAAAGTGCAAGTAGCCACTATACTTACATCATCTTCTGCAAAGACTGAGAAGCTGAAGAAAGCCCCCAAGTAAGAGAGTCTCTGCAGCTCCCGCCCACAGCCAGGACTTAAGGATTTCGGCAACCACAACGGCAAAGAAGCAACCTAGGCAGAAGATGGAAGAGGCCAGTCAGGCACTCAACAGGCCGATGAAGTAAAAATGTAATGAAAACCCTCCAGCTCCTCTATATTTTCACAAGATATTATTAAAACTTTTATGTTTCAGCCAGGCACGGCGGCTCACGCCTGTAATCCCAGCACTTTGGGAGGCCAATGAGAGTGGGAGTGGGTCACCTGAGGTCAGGAGTCCGAGACAACCCTGGCCAATATGGAGAAACCTCGTCTCTACTAAAAATACAAAAATTAGCGGGGCATGGTGGTGTGCGCCTGTAATCCCAGCTACTAAGGAGGCTAAGGCAAGAGAATTGCTTGAACCCAGGAGGCAGAGGTTGCAGTGAGCTAAGATTGCGCCACTGCACTACTCCAGCCTGGGTGACAGAGTGAGACTCTGTCTCCAAAAAAAAAAAAAAAAAAAAAAGAATTTTAAAGTTGCAGGATACTATTTGATGAAGTTCAAATGAACTCTTCTTACTTATACCACCAAAGGACTCAAATAACTTTTCCATAGCACTTGTTAGTTTAGTTGTACAATATTTGTCAAGGAAAAAAAACAGGCCCGGTGCAGTGGCTCACGCTTGTAACCCAATAATTTGGGAGGCCGAGGCATGGGGGATCACCTGAGGTCAGTAGTTCGAGACCAGCCTGGCCAACATGGTAAAACCCCATCTCTACTAAAAATACAAAAAAATTAGCCTGACATGGTGATGCGTGCCTGTATTCCCAACTACTTGGGAGGCTGAGGCACGAGACTCACTTGAACCCAGGAGGCGGAGGCTGCAGTGGGCCAAGATCGCACCATTGCACTCCATCCAGCCAGGGTGATAGAGCAAGATTCTTGGGGGAAAAAACGGGAAAAAAATCATAGAAACAAACACTGTAATGCAGGAAATAACGTGTCTAACAACAATGTAACAGTTGAGAGCCTCCCAGACACGTTACCTCCGCCTACACCTAAATGTCCTTCAAGAGAAGTTTTCCAGGTCATCTCACTGGAGGAATGCCTTCTGGGTTACGATATATTCACTGAAAACGTGCAAGCCCATCAGGTGAGTGCTTACCAAATTGCACACAGGGTGTGTCTTTCCAAACTTGGTTTCACAGAGCTCACCTAGTGCCTAGAAATAAGATCAGAGTCATTTAAATGCATTTCATCTTAAACTGACTGTCATTTGTAGCATCAAGAAGCAGCTTTAACTGCTGCTATAAATGCATTCCCTCTAAAATGGCAGCAGCTTTACTACTTTTTCTGATTAATAAACTAATACACATGCAATGTGAAAAACTGGAAATAAAACAGAAATATAAAATGAAACTCAAAATTACTCAAGCTTTACCCTCAAAGATAACCTCTATTGATATTTTGAGCAACAGTTTTCCAGATATATTTTTGTGTACTGTATCTATCTATATATATTTATACAAAAAAAAGTTTTTCCACTTCATATCTTTCCATGTCAAAAATATTTATTTCATAAACTTTAGATGGCTCCTCTTGCCAGTGTTAAACATGACTATAAATAATTACAATTTAGTAAGCTATCAAATTCAAAACATATTTAAAAGCATAACTTGGTTTCAAGATGTCTAGTACTTTTAAGAATTCCAACACTTTCCTTCAGAGCCCCAACCATCCTAACATTAGAGAACTATGAAAAACACTTTTTAGGGACATAAACATAATTTAACAGACCCACGGTAACTCAATCAAACGTTATTTTAAACAGTTAATTTCCTCTGTGATTCGGACACAGCTCTAGTTGCTACATGAGCTGAAGAGTCCATTTAGGCACTGACACAACGTTGAGATGCCTCTGAGGTTCAGGCAGCCGACTCAGAAGGAAGCATTCTCACTGCCTAGGGCAGGAGTTCACAAACCTGGCTGCATATTAGGATCACATGGGAAGCCTTTGGAAACCCCAATGCCATGCCACACCGCTGGTGAATTAAATCACGAGGTCTGAGGCGGGCAGCCAGGCAGAAACACCTTTAAAGATCCCCAGCTGATTCCAAGGTATGGCACAGCAGCATCCACTGACCTAGAGAATGATCACAATTATTTCTGATTTTAGCTTCAACAGTCTTCCTCTTCCTGCCTCTCATTATTGTATCCTCTCACTCACTGCACCCTCATTATTATACAAGCATCAATAATGGCACAAAATGAAATCATTGTCTACCACAATGGAGGCCTGTCTTTTGACCAAAAGGACATTTTGTTGATATCAGATGCTAAAAGCTCCTCACTGAAACATCAAGCTAATTCACACCACAACCCAAAAGCCAACAATCCCATGAAGGAACATCTACATAATACAGTGATAATTAGTGTTCACTAAAACATTTCATCACTGAACTCAAACAATCAGATTATTTCACTTCCTTTTACCTGCCTAAGGCAGAACAACACATAAAGATTCAAAGAATTTTATCAGGAGCCCTAATAACACGTACAATGGAAAGAGTTCTGGCATAAATCCACTTAAAATTATTTTTTAAAGTAGGAATTCTGGTTTCACCTTCTAATTTCCCAGCATTCTTGTAGCATTTTAGTGTCATGATAGGTTTGAATTTTTTAAATAGATAAATGCACCCTTTGTGCACAGCTCTGTTTTAACATTTATCACAGTATCTGTTCAACTGTTGTGCTGTAGCTCTTATTTTCGCAGATTATAAGTGTCTTGAGGAGAGGGACCTTGTCTTCCTAGCTGCTGTATCCCCAGTGTCTAGCACAGAACAGATCGTCAGTAATGAATTCATGGTATAATGGAATCCAATCAGTGGAATGAGTAAAAGAAATAAATACAGTAAGAAAACAACCATGGTCTCAATTTACATAAGACTTAATTTATACACAGAATAAGTGAATTTCATTTTGATATTTTTTCCTTTATACTTCTGCAATGAAAATATTCAGTAATACTTCAAAATATTTTTCTCTCAAAATTTCAAATAAGCAAATTCAGAACAGAAAAGAGCTTCTAATTTTCATTCTAGTTTCAGCATTTTTACAACATTCAAGACTCCCCATGGGAATCTAGCTGAAGCTTCTGTCCACTACGTACGCCTGCTGTAAGTGCCTTAAAGAGCTAAGCAGATTTCTGCTTCCCAAGTAAAGCCTGCAGATGAAGTGTACAACCTTAGGAAACGGCGGGGGGGAGGTGGGGGTTGAACAAGAGAGCTACCCTAAGAGTTTCTGCACAAAGTAAACACATAAAGATAAAATTGTATTCATTTTCTTAGTATGTACAACTTTGCCTTTTTTATTTGCATTTTTAATAGTTTTTGTTTTTAAGTAACAAAATTTCATCCCAACTATGGTATGCTCATTGCTAGGAGACAGTTATCTTTTTCATAAGCTATACAAAGTACATTGTAATAAGTGCATCACTAACTCCTGTCTAGGACTTGGATAGGTGGAAGATGTACCAGGCTGCTAACTGTCTTCACTGATGCATCTCACTGCACACCAAACACTCTGCATGGCCAACACAGTGATTTCATGTTTTAAATTTGAAAACAAGGTTGATCTCATGGACCTGAAAGAAAAGTATATGTCAAAATAATCTGAAAGAAAAACATCTATTGAATGAGTTAAAGAAAAAGAACAAATTTTTACCATGAGGGGGTATTTAAAGTAGTCACTATCGAGGGAGCACTCTTTGGCAGCAAGAGCCAGGCCTTGTAAAATGGGGATAAATATCTATAAGAAAAAAAAACAAAATCAGAAATATAAGTTTAAGAGAATCTAAGAACGGGAAGTATGTCAAATAAGGTGCTACAACTGAGTGTCCAGGCAATTTCATTCCTTCCCCAGGGAAAAGCTTTTTTGCATATAAAAGTCTAGAATTCAGCCAGAGTGTTGACCTGTTCTTTGACAAGGCTAACCATAAAGTAATACAGCTGAATTCTCCAGAAGTAAGAGGATTTTGGTGAACTCTGATACTCTGATAGGACCCCCGTAATTCAACAAAACCTATACATTTGGAGCCTGCTGAAGAACTCTCCAGGGGTTGTTGCTCTACTCAATTAAATTCTGCATATCTCGGCAACTAATATGTTCTTATATCTATCTATCTTTTTTTTTTGAGACAGAGTCTCGCTCTGTTGCCCAGACTGGAGTGCAATGGTGCAATCTCGGCTCACTGCAACCTCTGCCTCTGGGGTTCCAAGTGATTCTCCTGCCTCAGCCTCCTGAGCAGCTGGGATTACAGGTGCCTGCCACCACACCCGCCTAATTTTTGCATTTTTAGTAGAGACAGGGTTTCACTTTGTTGGCCACGCTGGTTTTGAACTCCTGACCTCGTGATCCACCCGCTTCAGCCTCCCAAAGTGCTGGGATTACAGGCGGGAGCTACCACACCCGGCCCTCTATCAGTAATTTTTAAAAGCCTTTCCCCATTTATTTTGAGGAAAACAAGATAAACAGGCCAACAACGAATATTATTATTACATTAAACTTAATTAAGTTAGAGCAAAGAGCTAGTTGGTGAAGGTTGAAACTGACAAAGAAAGCTTTAGTTAGAAAGCCTTACCTCCACATATAGTGTAATTAATACATTAACCTGCTATTGGCACTTAAAGGAACTCAAATCTGCTTTTATACATTTAGGATTAATACTGGGTAACACCATGCAAGATTTACTCAGTCTAGCTCATCTTCAAATTTCACAATGCACTCAGCGATCAACACATTTAGTAAGCTGGTTGGGATTCATGGCTAATAACATTAAATAGAAAATGTTGTAAACAGCAGCTGACAATCTGAATGCCAACAAGTTGTAATAGGAGTATACTATGTAGCCACCAGAAAACTTGAAAAATTCCCTTTGGTACTGATTTCATTCCATTATTCTGAGCATCTTAATAGTTTAAAGAGCACAGTACAAAAAACAGGTGCCCTGGATGACAAAGTGTCTGTGGAGTGTTGTGAGATATCAACACAGCTCTGGAAGAGATCATACTATGGTTTTTGTAATTCCAACAACCTGGGTAGAAGTAATTCGCTCTCATAAGCCAGATAAAAATGGAGAAGTAACACTCAGGTGTGTCATTGGGGAATGCCAACATTGTAATCAAGAAGAAAAGACAAACAGAAGTTCCAGAATCACCAAAAATTAGCTTCATAATTGGTCATCCTGAAAAATCTCCAAAATTTTTTTCAAGAAGGCTACAAGTAAAATATAATTATACTTTCTTGTATAGTTATCTTTTTGTACAATTAGGGCTTCATTTACAATAGGCAAAATAGCCGGGCGTGGTGGCTCACGCCTGTAATCCCAGCGCTTTGGGAGGCCGAGGCGGGCGGATCACGAGGTCAGGAGATCGAGACCATCCTGGCTAACACTGTGAAACCCCGTCTCTACTAAAAGACAAAAAATTAGCCAGACATGGTGGTGGGCGCCTGTAGTCCCAGCTACTCGGGAGGCTGAGGCAGGAGAATGGCGTGAACCTGGGAGGCAGAGCTTGCAGTGAGCCGAGATTGCGCCACTGCACTCCCGCCTGGGCAACAGAGCGAGACTCCGTCTCAAAACAAAAACAAAAACAAAAACAAATACAATAGGCAAAATATTACTATGCATAATCTTTTTCTTTTTTTTTTTTTCAGACAGTTTCACTCTGTTGTACAGGCTGGAGTGCAGTGGCATGATCTCGACTAAACGTAGCCTCCACCACCCGGGTTCAAGAGATTCTCCCGCCTTAGCCTCTCAAGTAGCCGGGACTACAGGCATGCACTACTGTGCCCGGCTAATTTTTTGTATTTTGAGTAGAGACGGGGTTTTGCCATGTTGCATCAGCCTGGTCTCGAACTCCTGAGCTCAGGCGATCCACCTGCCTCGGCCTCCCAAAGTGCCAGGATTACAGGCGTGAGCCACCATGCCTGGCCTGACCCAGATATTATAAATAATTCTTTAATTTTCAAATGAATACTTCCCAGCACTGATTTAAAAATACTGTTAAGTGTCCACCTCCAGTCCTAAATTCGAGCGGCTGTTTATCTGTGAATATTTCTCAAATATTAAAAGGAGGTAGATATTTCAGTCAAAGATTTAATAATTCACATTTGCCACTCTTTTAAGACAAAAAGGTAAGTTGCTGTTTTTCAGTTCAACAGCTCGATCCCAGTTATTTCCTTTCTAGATAAAACACATGGTAGCACATAAGAAAAGACAAAGAGTATTCAACACTGAGTCGCTGAAAAGTCAGCAGAAATCTGGGATTAAAAATAAACAGGTCTGGGCCAGGCGCTGTGGCTCACACTTGTAATCCCAGCACTTTGGGAGGCCAAGATGGGTGGATCACTTGAGGCCAAGAGTTCAAGACCAGCCTGGCCAACATGACAAAATCCCGTCTCTACTAAAAATACAAAAATTAGCCAGGCATGGTGGTATACACCTGTAATCCCAGCTACTTGGGAGGCTGAGGCAGGAGAATCACTCAAACCCAGGAGGCGGAGGTTGCAGTGAGCTGAAACTGTGCTGCTGTACTCCAGCCTGGGTAACAGAGAAAGATTCTGCCTCAAAATTAATTAATTAATTAAATAAACAAGTCTGTGGTGGTCATATAATACTGTGAACGTAGTAAATGTCACTGAATTGTACACTTCAAAATGGTGGTTTGAGACCGGGTGTGCTGGCTCACACCTGTAATCCCAGCACTTTGGGAGGCTGAGGCGGACAGATCACCTGACATCAGGAATTCGAGACCAGTCTGGCCAACATGGTGAAACCCCCTCTCTACTAAAAATACAAAAAACTAGCCAGATGTGGTGGCGGGCGCCTGTAATCCCAGCTACTCAGGAGGCTGAGGCAGGAGAATCGCTTGAACCCGGGAGGCGGAGGTTGCGGTGAGCCGAGATCGCTCCATTGCACTCCAACCTGGGCAACAAGAGCAAAACTCCGTCTCAAAAAAAAAAAGGTGGTTTGATGTTATATGAATTTCACCTAAATTTCAAAAATGTGGGACTTCTCTGCCCAAAGCTGGTGATGAGGAAACAACCAAACGAAACACACACAGAGGTCATTTCCTCTTGTGTAAGTCTGTTTAGAATAAAGTAGGCTCAATATACCCCTGTCAGCTGGTCACTGGGCTGATTTTATATAGAGAGAACGACTCGATTCCTCAAACGATATCTTCTTGAATAGGAAAAGTATTCTAATTACTACCTATTACCTCTCTAATGTAGTGCATCACGTAAACCTTCCAAGACAGTAATTTTTTTTTTTTTTTTTTTTTTTTTGAGACAGAGTCTTGCTCTGTCGCCCAGGCTGGAAAGCAGTGGCGTAATCTCGGCTCACTGTAAGCTCGTCTCCTGGGTTCAAGCAATTCTCCCACCTCAGCCTCCCAAGTAGCTGGGATTATAGGAGCCTGTCACCAGGCCCAGCTAATTTTTGCATTTTTAGTAGGGACAGGGTTTCACCACATTGGTCAGGCTGGTCTCGAACTCCTGACCTCAGGCGATCCACCCGCCTCAGCCTCCCAAAGTGCTGGGATTACAGGCATGAGCCACCGTGCCCGGTTGACAGTGATTTATTTTCCTTAGAGTTCACTTATCCTTCTAGAGAAGAAAAGCTCACTATGCTGCCATTCATATTTCCATTAGTCAGTAAGATTATCATTTAAGATAAACAGTCAGTGAATTCCAGACAGAGTACACAACACTAAGTGGAATTTTTATTCTTGGATCCTGGCTGCTTCTTTTACAAATATTTTGAAGCCTGCTGAAAACACAATTCTCAAGAATTCAAAGGTTTTAAAATTAACCGTTATAAATAATCTAAGGTATAAAACAGAGTGAAAGAAATCATACCAATTATAGCTATTGCCTCTGTTATTCTCTGTAGTCACAAAAAAGGAAGTGATGATACAGCAAACTGTAAGAAAATTTGATAGAAACCCTTTCATCAGGGAAAAAACTTGTGTGAAAGCTGCTAAGGCAAAGGGCTTATTTTCCCAAACAGGTCCTTCCAACAGTAATGTTAACGACAAAGTTTCACCTCGGAAGAAACCTTCAAGACTACGCACACAGCTTTATTTTTAAGCACTACATATCCGCATTTTCACTTGGCTTTACACAATGAGATAGCAAAACAATGTATAAACACCAAATGAAACAATTAGGAAGATATGAGACATCTTTCCTAGTGGGAAGAAGACAAAAAGATTCTATATGGCATGCAGGCTGCCAATGAGCTAATATGGTCACTAAGTTATAAATCTTACAAACTCAGAGAATGAATTTTTGACACTACTTATCTGGCAGATGCACATCATGCCTTATGCTGTCTCTGGGTATTCTTGTTTCAAAAGCTCCTTGAAATCAGGAACGGGGCCTTATATATTTTTTTCATATTGCCCAAAGCATCTAGCGCAGACCTTGTTTAAAAGATAGATGTTTGACTGATTTGTTGAAATGGGCACATGATTTGAAAAATGCAGCTGTCAATCCAATTTCCTCAAAAGAATATTGGGTAGGCCTTCTCTCTAAGCAAGTAACACATGGATGTGTGAATTCAGGCAAGAATTTTCAATGTATGGTGTATTCAGAAATTAGCCTCGGCATAGAGGCTCTCAGGCTAAAATTTGCAAGAGCAAACTCATACGACCGTACCTGCTTGAACACTTCTTCATCCTGGTGAGTGGTTCTCACCAGTTCCTGAATGAAGCCATATGGGAGATTCCTACACAGCATATACGGCACTAGGAAGGACGGCTGCTGCAAGGACCTGTGGACCCATGAACATTAGGGACGGTGATGAAGTCAACTCACTACAGAGGCATGTGAAATGTCATGTCAGCAACAACTGCCCAGTCAAAAGTCAAACTTCATATCTCCCACATATTCTGCAAAATAGTTTCAGGCAAAAGCTAACCCTTCTTACCAATAGTAATCACTTTTTGGTCTTTTTCATGAGAAACTATGGGAAGTTTCAAAGAATTCATCTTTTCCTACACACAGCCCTTTAAAAATGAAGCACTGAGAAAAGGAAGCATGGCCAGGCACAGTGGCTCATGCCTGCAATCCCAGCACTTTGGGAGGCCGAGGTGGGAGAATCACTTGAGGCCCAGAGTTGAAGACCAGTCTGGGCAACATAGGAAGACTCTGTCTCTACAAAAAATGAAAATATCAACTGAACAAGATGGTGTGTGCCTGGAGTCCTGGCTACTTGGAAGGCTGAGGCAGGAGGACTGCTTGAGCCCAGGAGTTTGAGGTTATAGTGAGCACTCCAGTCTAGGCAACAGAGTGAGATCCTGTCTCTTAAAAAAATAATAATAATAAAAATAAATAAATAAAAAATAAGTATTATATGTTTTGTTGTTATCGTTGTTTGTTTTTTTTTAAGAGACAGAGTCTCGCTCTGCTGCCCAGGCTGCAGTGCAGTGGCGTGATCTCGGCTCAGTGCAACCTCCACCTCCCAGGTTCAAGCGATTCTCCTGCCTCAGCCTCCTGAGTAGCTGCTACAGGTGCCCGCCACCACACCCAGCTAATTTTTGTATTTTTAGTAGAGAAGGGGTTTCACTGTGTTCGTCCCAAACTCCTGACCTCAGGTGATCCACCTGCCTCGGCCTCCCAAAGTGCTGGGATTACAGGTATGAGCCCCCACACCTGGCCGCATTATATGTTTCTTTTACTTCTTTATGCCTCATCTAAATTGGGGGAAAAGAAGATTAGTAGTGGCTGAGGACTTATTAATTTTAATCAAGGAACATTTTTTAAAGTTTTGGTACATGTATATAATTTTCCCTCTTTTTGAAAAGTTTCAAAAATATATGGTTGTGGTATACAAAATAACATTAAGAACACCTAGTATAAATAAAATGTAACGTTATGTTTGTGAACTTTTATTTTAATTTATTATTATTATTATTTTTTGAGACAGTCTTGCTCTGTCACCCAGGCTGGAGTTAAGTGGCATAATCTCGGCTCACTGCAACCTCCACCTCCCAGGTTCAAGTGATTCTCATGCCTCAGCCTCCCCAGTAGTTGGGATTACAGGTGCATGCCACCATGCCCAGATAATTTTTTGTATTTTTAGTAGAGACAGGGTTTCATCATGTTGCCTAGGCCGGTCCTGAAGTCCTGAGCTCAGGCAATCTGTCTGCCTCAGCCTCCCAAAGTGCTAGGATTATAGGCGTGAGCCTGGACTGTAAACTTTTAATTTCTTTTTTTTTTTTTTAATTTTTATTTTTGAGACAGAGTTCTGCTCTATCACTCAGGCTGCAGTGCAGTGGCACGATCTCGGCTTACTGCAACCTCCACCTTCTGGGTTCAAATGATTCTCTGGCCTCAGCCTCCCAGGTAGCTGGGATTACAGGCATGCACCACAACGCCCAGCTAAGGTTTTTGTATTTTTAGTAGAGACTGAATTTCGCCATGTTGGCCAGGCCAGTCTCAAACTCCTGATCTCAGGTGATCCACTGGCCTTGGCCTCCCAAAGTGCTGGGATTACAGGCGTGAGTCACCACACCTGGCCAAAACTTTTAAATGTAAACTTTTTCCTTTAGATTTTTTTTATATAAAAGAAATGAAATACACATCCTTTTTAAAAACTTGCTACCTTTAGAAGACTGAGAGACAAAGAAAAAAAATTTTTAAAAACAAAATAAAAACAAAAAATTTGCAACCTTTATAGAATCCTCAGAAACAATGTAGCACTTCGGTTGATTCCTAAACTATCCAATCCATTACTATCCTTTATCACTCAATAACAGAAATTGACCAGTTATACATGGAAGGTGATGGTCCACACATTTATCAAATACTTCCACCACCAACTTCAGGCAGTTGCTGTACAGTCACTAATTTTCTGCCTTGCTTGTCCACATATTTCAACAATGGTCTATTTCAAAAAGCAGGCAGAATTCTTAGAACATAACTCATTTCTTTTTAAAATATGCTTTGTACTACTTTAGAAGATGAGGAAAAAAGGAGCGTTTATTTTCATGGTATTTTAGAGAAGGAAAGGGATCTTCATTTTACAGGTGAGGAAGGGAGTTATCCAAGGTGGTGCAAGAATGGCCGGAGAGCCTGATCTCCGCTGATGGCTAGGGCCTTCTGCCAGCTAATGTCAAGCACGTCACGGGTCTTCATACCTGGGCTGTGTTAGGGAGCCTTGTAGTACTAAAGCAGTATGGGATATGCACTGTGAGCGGATGTTGCTCAGAAGCTGGCTGACTGCTGGCTGGCTGCACATCTGAAAAGGAAAGGTGGAAGTGAGGACAACAAGAAACAAACAATACAATTTCATACTGTTAAAAACAAGAGTCAAGAGTTAAAAGGGAGGGACCATCAGTAAACAGTATGCTTTCCTCTTCCTTTATTCTTAGTGAACGAACTACAGTAACTGTGCCTTCCAAGTGTACTGCCTCTGCAGAAATTGATGTCAGAGAAGAAAGAAGTGTAAGTTTGAGGTGATCAAATTTATACTTAAGAAGCTTGGAGGCCAGGCGCAGTGTCTCACACCTGTAATTCCAGCACTTTGGGAGGCCAAGGCGAGCAGATCACTTGATGTCAGAAGTTTAAGACCAGCCTGGGCCAGGCGCGGTGGCTCACACCTGTAATCCCGGCACTTTGAGAGGCCGAGACAGGCAGATCACAAGGTCAGGAGATCGATGTCATCCTGGCCAACATGGTGAAACCCCGTCTCTACTAAAAGACAAAAAATTAGCCAGACATGGTGGTGCACGCCTATAGTCCCAGCTACTCGAGAGGCTGAGGCAGGGGAATCACTTGAACCCAGGAGGCAGAGATTGCAGTGAGCCGAGATTGTGACCCCAGCTAATTTTTTTTTTTTTTTTTGAGAGCAGAGTTTCATACTCTTTGCTGCCTAGCCTGGAGTACAATGGCACAATCTTGGCTCACTGCAGACCTCCAGCCCTCCAGAGGTTCAAGTGATTCCTCCCTGCCCTCAGCCTCCCCGATCACGATAGCTGGGATTAAAAGGCATGAGCCACCATGCCCGCTAAATTTTCGTATTTATAGTAGAGATGGGATTATCTCATGTTAGTGGAGGCCTGGTCTCCTGACCTCAAGTGATCCTCCCACCTTGCCTCTCAAAGTGCTGTGATTACAAGTGTGAACCACCCCCCCCGCCGCGCGGCACACCCAGCTAATTTTTTTTTTCTTTTTTTGAGACGGAGTCTCGTCTGTCACCCAGGCTGGAGTGCAGTGGCCGGATCTCAGCTACTGCAAGCTCCACCTCCGGTTTACGCACATTCTCCTGCCTCAGCCTCCCGAGTAATCTGGGACTACAGGCGCCCGCCACCTCGCCCGGCTAGTTTTTGTATTTTTTAGTAGAGATGGGGTTTCCACCGTGTTAGCCAGGATGGTCTCAATCTCCTGACCTCGTGATCCGCCCATCTCGGCCTCCCAAGTGCTGGGATTACAGGCTTGAGCCACTGCACCCAGCCCACCCAGCTAATTTTTATATTTTTTTAGTAGAGATGGGGTTTCCACCATGTTGGCCAGGTTGTGGGTTTTTTGGTTTTGTTTTTTTGTTTCTTTTTTTTTGAATGGGAAGGCCTTACAAAA